TTTTGCTCAAAGATTGTTTGTTGTTCTCCCGAGTTGCAGCGGCATCAGGAAGAATGTACAGTTTGATGTTCTGATGCCGCGGCTACCGGTGGACGTCGAAGATAGCAATTGCTTAGGGAGTCGGTAAGAAAATGGGGAAAGAAAACGAAAAAGGGTAGCGGAATAACAAGATCTGGGACGTTACACGAACAACAGTTACGGACGCGATCTACAATGGCAATCGCGACTTGAAGATTGGCATCGAATTGCTGGACAGAAACAATGTCTGTTGGAGAGATGTGTCGAGTACTAGATTATTTCTTGAAATAAATTCCTCGAAACGGAATCGAGGAACCTCGTTATTGCTTACGGGATTTATTTATAGCAGATTAGATCTTATTCATGAAACGCGCTGCAATATAAATTCTAACCATGTACTACAAGCGTACTTAATATGTTATACGTTACCTATTTTTATCAGTTTGCTTTATTTTTACAACTGAATTAATTTTACAATTATTTTTACAACCGAATTAATTTTTCAGAAAATAATAATTCGAGCTCGAATCCCGGCTGAAGTAATTCTAGTATTTTTCTCAATAAAATTATTTACAAGTTTAAGATGCTTATCAGCATCATATTATTAAGGTCTTTCTAAGATGTCTACGAATATCAATATTATTAAATTGCTTGCCAATTTAATTTGTGATATTAATCTAGTTTTGCTAGGATTGTGTCTTAAGACTGAAAATTAAATTCGACGCACAGTTTACAAAATTATGTGAATATATAAATTTCCACTGAATTATTTAAGCACGAGAGATTCAGTTTGATCGTTTAAGGCTTTTATTTCTTATTTGTTGTATTCACATTACTTAAAAGATACTTTGTTTAATATAGATAATTGATTTTATCTGTGATCTTTTATACTGGCCGTAATCTGTAACCATTGACCAATCATAGTCGATTATTCCTCTCTCATTCGACTGTAATTGGTCAATTCTTACAGATAACGATATAAGTTAACAGATTACGGCCAGTATAAACGCTCCTAAAGTGTCTCGTGGATATAATAAAAGGCAAAAGTATTACTGAATGAAGTGTGGTTTACGATACTTAAATGGCGGTTGATATACGTGGAAAGCGTCGTCATAATAAAAATGTCAATGGTTAGAATACGCGACGTTTACGACCCATTCCGCGACCATTTTGTTTATCTATGCTTCGGGTTGCAGCTCCTCCGCTGGAAATCAACTATATCGATATACATTCGATGATATATCTCGCGACTGAAACACGCATTCGCAGCACGAAATCAGTAGACCGAATACTTTATTATTGCGCAAGTACAGACAGTAATATAGCGAGAAATCGCCCCTGGGAGATTTTGCGTTGTTCACCGGGAAGATTCGAGGTAGTTTGGGTGATATACGAGAACGCGCAGATGCAACGAGAGCACGTGTAATGTTAAAATACCCGTCGACTTCTCCGCTTCATCGTTCTCCACAATCTGTATTATTGATTGCGGGTCATCCTCTAATTCCGATCGTCTCTATTTTTCATATCGCAGAATCGCGCAAAATCGTGTGCTTTTGCACGGTTCTTTTCCTCCCTCGTTTTTCTATGCCGACGTTGATGATAATGTAACTTGGCGAATTGTTTCTTTTTTTTTTTGTTTAAATAACTATGTATTTCTATTTCTTCATTTTGAAATTATTTCGTGTCTTCGTAGCATCAAGAAAAAAA